TGCAAATACAGTGTGGTTGTGTCAGGCGTTTGACAAGCTCTCTATCACTGAGCCACATCCCTTGCTACATGTCACATTTATAAGAGCCTGGAAGAAGACCACAACCCAATGAACAAATGGCCTGATAAAATGATACGCGGCAGTTCTCAAAAGAAATGCAAATGGCCAACAAACATTAAAATCGTTCAACCTCAGTAAGCTTTAGAGGAATGAAAACCAGGACTACACTGAGAGTCCATCTCACCCCAGAGAGAGAGTTGGCCACTAAGGAGACAAATAATATAGCCTGGAGGGATGGAGGGATGGCTCAGCAGTGAAGAACACTTGTTACTCTTCCAAAGGACTCTGGCTTGATTATCAGCGCTCACATTGCGGCTCACAACTATTTGTAACTCCAGTTCCAGGGACTCCAACGCCCTTTTTTAGTGTCTGCGGGCATGTACACTCATACACAGTTCTTCTACATCCAGGTGAAGTACCCATATATACATTAAAAAAATATGACAATCAAATCTGGTAAGATGTGGACAAAAGGGAATCTTTATACACTGCTAGCTGGAGTGAAAACTAGCTAGGTAAACTAGTCCGTATGGAGGGCGCAGGCCTTGTATATAGCCCAGCATAACTCCTGGGTATTTGCCAGAAGGCCCCCAATAAACACATCCTAGAGAAACTTGCCCTACGTGTTTATTGCAGCACTTTTCACCATAGCTAAGCTACGGAAGCAAACTAAGGGCCAACGACAGATGAACAGATACAGGAAATGCAGTGCACATACACGGTGGTTTTTTTTTTTTTTCTAGCCATAAAGAATACAAAGTGATATCATTTTCTGGAAAAGGGCTGTAGATGAAGATAATCATACAAAGCAAATTAAGCTTTCCCCTGACAGATTTGTGCTGTTGCTCATTTGCCATCCCTGGGTTTTATAGAGACGCATAAATTAGAGACATGTGTGGCGTGGGAGAGGAAGTGAGACTGTCTGGGGAGTGAAGGGGACTGGCCAGAGAGAAGCCCTGAGTCACTTGGTGGGAGTAGGGGAGATGCTCGCCATACAGTACACGCTCATATGAGAATTAAAAAACAAAGGAGACAAAAATAGGAAGATCTCATGAACTGAATGGTAGTGAAGGCTCTGACTGTTACATATATTTGAAAAACCCAGCCAATTATGAACTTTCCGTGAATTTCATGCAGTTTAGTGGATGGTATAGAGCACATTTGTGAAAGGAATTCTTGAATGGACAGTGACTTCTTCAGCTTCATTTTAAATAGATAGCTTCTGTGATGAAGTGGGGAGTTTTCCTTTTCTGGGATGCTCTTTAGCTGGAGAAATATATTAAGGGAATCTCTAATAGGTACTTAGAAATTGCTCTTTCTGGGAAGCACAGGCTCCTCACTCAGGCCTGTAAGGCGACTCAGAGCTGAGCGAAAGCCTGGCACTCTTGACTCCATTTTGCTTTGGTCTTTTTCCCTTCGTTTCAAACCTTGGGTCAGACCCCATGCTTAACTCTGCACAGAGACATGCTAATTACCCAGGGATTGTCTGTCTGAATTGGCATGCGATGCATATCTGTAATTATAGACAAGGTAGGCTGGAGAAGCACCTCAGTTGGAAGACAGCCTTAGAACTGTCTCTAGAAATGGTGATACTCTACGCAGCTCAGCCCTCTTCAAGACTGAAGGAGCAAAGATGAGAGCAATCAAACCATCTCCCCGTCAACCTTTACCATACCCTGTTCACACGCCCATCAAGATCCAGAATCTGTGTTCATCTTGGATTCCAGGAACAGTAGAACCTACAAAGAGATCACCCCATTGCAGTTTTTTTTCTTTTAACTCTTTGTTCTTTGGGGGCCTGCCACCCAGCTCCCAAATAAATACATGGATACTTGTTCTTAGAATGCCTGGCTTTATCTTGGCTTGTTTTCAGTCCGATTTGGCTAACCTAAATTATCCTGTCTACCTTTTGCCTCTGGGGTTTTACATTTATACTATATTTCATTCTTTCCTTCTTACTCTATGGCTGGCTGTGTTGTTGGGTGACTGGTCCCTGGCATACTCTCTTCCTTTTCTCACTCCCTTTCTTCTCTCTTCTCTTCCTATGGTCTCTGCATGTCAGCCCCACCTATTTCTCTTTCCTGCATAGCCATTGGCTGTTCGGCTCTTTATTAGACCAGTCAGGTGCTTTAGACAGGCAAAGCAACACAGCTTTACAGAGTTATACAAATGCAACAGAAAAGAATGCAACACATCTTTGAATCATTGAACAAATATTACACAGCATAAAAGAGTGTAACACATCTTAAAATAATATTCCACTCCAAGATGAGATCGCCCAAATAGGAGCAATCATCTCATGAGGAACAAGATAGCTCCCTTAAGCCATAAGGATTTCTTTGGGTCACATTGCTGAATCATCACTTGGAGAATGAGCAACTGGAGCACACTTTCGTTGTGGGAACTCATTCAGCCAATAATAACCTTTGGGGTACCAGCCCATTAAGGCACGGTCTCGGGTGCTACCCATGGGGAAGAAGATGCATGCTGTCTCTCTATCTTGGGGTGGTGGTCGGGGAGATGTGATCAAAGCTTCCTGTGCCCCAAGGCAGAAGACGGAAGTGGCTCTCTACCTTTATTGTATGAGTGTTTCCTAAATAAATATTTGCTATCCTTTTATTTGCACTTTGTGGACTCCCTTAATCATGCCTACACACTTTGACTAAGATGGCTTACTTATGCTTTTCATCCCTGCCTCAGTGCTTTCTCTATTCAAAGTTAAAACTCATGCCAATGCCATAAAGGCAGACTGCAGAGTTTTGTGCCTTCTCCAAATAGCTGCTTTGTTTGCTTTCTTTGGGGTAAGTGGCTGAATCTGGTATGTTGAACAGTGGCCAGGTTCCCGGTTTTGAACTATAGTTACAAACAAAGCTGTTTTCAAGGCGTTAGGCTTGGAAGACTAAAAAAGAAAAATGAAAGACCAGAGACTCCTGCCTGTACTGCAGCCAACAACGAGGCTTCTGTCAGGACTTGCACTACCTGAAACCATGCTTAGAACCATTCTGGGCTTCCTCCACCACCCCACCAGGTACCCAGACTCCATGTCCTCCTCTAGGCTCTAGCCTGGCTCTCAGATCCTGTGCCCTGACCAACTGTGACCAACCCCTCCTATACCAAAGCTAAGCTCTGGCAGAATCTGCCCAACTTGCATCACCCCACTTCCTTATGTACCAACTCTACCATATCCAGCCTTCCCATGTCCTCTAGGGTCTAACCTAGTGAATATCCCTGATCTTTCCTGTCTTAGTTAGGGCTTCATTGCTGTGAATAGATGTCATGACCACTGCAACTCTTATAAAGTAGAAACATTTAATTGGGGCTGGCTTACATTTCAGTGGTTTAGTCCATTATCATCATGGCAGGAAACTTGGTGGCATGCAGGCTGACATGGTAGTGGAGAGGTAGCTGAGAGTTTTCCATCTGGATCCACAGGCAGCAGGAAGAGACATTGAGTCACTAGGCCTGGCTTGAGCTTCTAAAGCTTCAAAGCCCCCCCCCATGACACACTTCCTCCCAAAGCCACACCTACTCCAATCAGCCCACAGCTCCAAAGACGCCACTCTCTGTGGGTCTTCATTCAGACCCCCGTGTCCCTTTTCACACATTTTCCACAATCCAGAAAATGTAGCCTTGGTCCCTCAGCCAGTATACCAGCCTAATTTGGTTTCCCATGCCTTCACTGCAAAGGAGATTTGGACTTGGGGCAGAATCCCCTCCCTACCTGTGCCCCAAATCACAGGATTCCACCATGCCATATCCAACCTCCCCACCCAGACATGTCTACTCACACACTGCACTCCATGAATACCATGTGTGTCCTGTACAACAGTCCGGTCCCCTCTGTTCACTTGACTTCGTTCCACCAAGCCATCTCCACACTCTAGACCCAACCTGTCCCCCATCTTACCTTTTACCTTAAGACTCGAGCTAACAAAGGAAGTCCACACCCATGCACTGGGCAGGGTGGCATCCCAGCACTTGGGAGGCAGAGGCAGGCAGATGTCTGTGAGTTCAAGGTCAGTCTGGTCTACATGGTGAATTGCAGGATGTCCAGAGCGACATAATGAGACCCTGTCTCAAACAAAAACAAACAAACAAACAAGCAAGCAAACAAACAGACAACCCCTACAAAAGCAAAAAGAATACCCACACAACAAAGACAAGACCAGATCTCAACATCTAGGATCACAATGGACCTGAATTTTTTGTTTGTTTGAACAAAACAGAACCACAGAGGCCCCCTTCCCTTAGTCATGACGGTCAATCGTGTGTTAGGTTGACCAGACACTTGGCCAAATGTTATTCTGGGTGTTTCTGTGAAAGTATATTTACCTGGATTAAATTAAGATGTGAGTTAAATTAACAGAATAAATTGACTACCCTCCCTCTATGAGTGCTCTCCATCCTATACAGATTATATGCATCAGAGATTAACTCCAAATAAGCAATAATGCATCAGTGTCACATTAAGGAGAGTGATAGAAGCATGTCCCCCTGGAGTCTTTTACTCAAGAATGAGTTCAGGTCTGAGTTCTCTACTTCATGGCCCCTGTGTCTTGCATTCTCAGCCTTTCTGCTATATGAGTCTGAATCTGTGCTGCCTGAAGGCTGTCCTTTGGATCTTCTGTGTCTCTTTGTGTGTATTCCACAGAGTTTCAGGCTGGGCAGTGGTGGCGCCTTTAATCCCAGCACTTGGGAGGCAGAGGAAGGCGGATCTCTGTGAGTTTGAGACCAGCCTGGTTTACAAGAGCTAGTTTCAGAATAGGTTCCAAAGCTACACAGAGAAAGCCTGTCTCGAAAAACCAAACCAAAACAACAAAACAAAACAAACAAACAACAAACAAACAAACCCCAGAATTTCACAAGGGATTCAGTCACAGGCTCCAAATCCCAACTGACCCAGATAACAAACATCACGTTTATCAATAACTATCCATAAATGATTTCACTTAACCTTTATGGAAGTTGCCTTGAATTTCTGTATTTGCTGCTTTCAGCAAATGATATACACACATTACTCTGGGTCAGGGACATGCAAGAGTACATAAGATTGTATCTATGCATTAGGTTATGTTGTAAAAGCACATTACAGTATCACATGTGGAATCCATGGCAAATAAGGTGGATTATTCTATTGTTCTCTTACAGCAGGTTAAACAAACAGTTTGAGTACAGAGTTGTGATGTCCAGCAAAAGTCCCAGTCTTGTAGATTGTAAGAGATATTTTCAAAATTTATTGCCAGACACCCAGTTAGCTGAAGGCTTAAGTAGAAAAGGCTCCCCTCCTTCAGGCAAGGAGGAGCTCCTCTGGGTTGACTGCTTGAGTTGGACACAGGCCTTCTGCCTTCAAATCCATACTGAAAAAAAAAGTGGCTCTTCTGGGGTCTTCAATTTGCTAACTGTACATCATGTGACTTGTCTCTCTTCATAGATTCCTTTCTCTTTCTCTTCTCTATCTTCTGTAGGTAAGAGAGGCTATCAGTTTCTGTTTAGACAACATGGTAGTGAAATGGATATACAGTATGAGGCAGACAAAACATGACTGACACTGAACATTCTGGGAACCCAAAAGTTAACAGTGATGTAATCTGATAGATAACTATTCAGGTCAGAGTACCACTTTCATATGGATTCCATATAAAAATGACCTTGTGGTCAGATACCAGAGACATCAGCTCCCACCTTTGGCAGCAAGCTTATGTGTTTGTTGGTAAGCCTATGTGCTTACCGCCATGAGTCAGGTGTACCACCGGCTTGTGTGTCTGCTTGTGCCTGGGTGCCTGTGGGTAGATGCCTGTCTAGAAGCCTTTGTTTGAAGTGAATAATGTGTGTTTTATCTGCCACATGTCCTCAAAATCTCTTTAAGCTCCTAGACCACTGTGACCCTTTCCTTTCCCAGAATCAGAGCAAGGAACTCACATCTTTCTTCCTGTCTCCCTGTCTACTCTTCCTCCACAAACTCACATTTTTTGGAATCTGCTTCTTTAAAGAAAAATGACTAAAACAATGATCAACAGAGTCAGAGGTCAAGAGAAGGTATGATGGGAGTGATTAAAGGGGAATAACACCCCAGGAATGTAAAGGGTATATTCATTCACAAGTTGTTCACAGAGTATGAGGCCTGGGGAGAAACAAAGATGGTATCAGTCTCCTTGGCCTGCCAGGGTAGTTGGTAAAACCCAAGATGTCTCAGAGTTCTCCAAGGATGCTTGTCTTGGTTAGTGTTCCATTGCTGTGAAGAGACACCATGACCACAGAAACTCTTATGAAAGAAAGCATTTAATTGGGGCTTGCTTATAATTTAGAAGTTTAGTCCGTTATCATCCCAGCAGGGAGCATGATGGCCCACGGGCTTGCATGGTACCGGAGAAGCAGCAAGAGTTCTACATCAGCAGCAGAAAGTCACTGGCATGACTTGAGCTTTTGAAACCCCCAAACCCACTCCCTGATGACCAAGCACTCAAATATCTGAGCTTATGGGGGCCATTTTTATTCAAACCACGCCAGTGCTTTTGGCCCAAGGATGGCTCAGGGGCATTGAGTCTGAGTGTGATCTCTGTGAACATGTACTGTGAAGTTTGGCAGAGGGTAGTCTCTGCCAATACCTATGGGGCCTCAGTTCTCAGTATGGTCCCTGAACTAAACAATTGGTACCATCTGGAAGCTAATTAGAGATGCAGATTCTCAGGCTCTACCCAGCCTCAGACCTGCATGTCCAGAAGGTCCTTGGGGATCTGGAGCCCTGTGGATGGAAGTTTCTGTCCTTCCTGGTTTCACCGGTTCAGTCCCAAGTAAACACACAGAGGCTTACATAAATTATAAACAATTTGGCTAATGGCTTGGGCTTCTTTTTGGCTAGCTCTCTCTTAATTATTAACCCATTTCTATTAATCTGTGTATCTCCATGTGGTCTTGGTCTACTGGTGATGCCCAGGCCTCTTGCTTCCTCAGCAGCTACATGGTGTCTCCCTGACTCCACTTACTACCTTTCTCTAACCCTGTTTGAATTTCCCAACTGCCTAAATCCTGCCTGTCTATTGGTTGAAACAACTTTATTCATCAATCAATAGGAGAAACACATATTCACAGCATACAGAAGGACATCCCCCATCAGAGCTCTAACCCTTGGTAGACAGGATTTCCACCCAGATTTTCTCTCATTCTCCCTCAGGGGAAAGAAAGAAGGATGCTTCTGAGTTTCTTGGGAGGCATGTAGAAGCCCCACCTCTCTTTCCCCAGATCCTGCCTCCTCAGAAAACCTGCTGAACAGTGGCCCCTCCTCTCAGAAAGTCCGCCATCAGGGGCTCCTTCCCTGGAGATGCCTGGGACCATGACTACCGACTATGGCTATTTAAAACCCAGCTTGTAGATCTGCCACATGTGCCCTTGTGTTCTGTCCCCTGCCTTCCTGAGGGCCACTCAAGAGTGCTCTGCTTTGCATTGCATTTATTAAATCTGGATTTATTAATTTGGTCTGATTTGGATTATCGCATTGGCATCGGAGGAATCCAGCAACCGGGGATCCAATGCTTAACAGAATCCAATATTGTTTTCTTCCTCATTGTTCATTCACAATCTAGTCCTTGGTGCTCCTGATCTCGACTTTGTGGGGTTCCTTTTGTCAGACTAGGAAAGGCCTGGTGTGCAGGGTATCACTTGACTTGAGTGGTTAGCTCTTGAGCAAGAAAGGCGTTCCACTGATATTAGGTACAGACCTTAAGTTCTAGACAGATAAAAGATTGTGAAATGCGGCTCTGCTGTAAAGAGCTCACATGACTCCATTATCCAATGAGTGGGTGCTTCCCATTTGGTAGAGCATACAGAGGGTCACCAGGCTCACACCACACGCCCCAAGAGCAGTCCTAATTGAGGGGCTGCAACAGTCATCAGAACTGAAACTCACTGAGGAAGCCAGGAGATATGACTTTCCCTAGGTCAAGAGCAGCTTGTCATTAGATTAAAAAAATTGCCAAGTACAGTACTCAGTCTAGTGATGGGTGGGAGCCCAGTAGGGCCCCAAGTCCTGGCCACTTGATACAAAGAGCTCTGGGTGCACCTAGGTCTCATTGCAGAGCATCCTCTCTCCAAGGAGAATGATGGGGTGCACCAGTTGAAGCAGGAGGACTCATCTGTGAGGTGCTGGGAGGGCGACTTCTGCAGCCTGGGGGCCAGGGTGCTTCCAGCTTCAGAGAGTAGATAACAGGACACTCCTGGAGGACACAGCATCGGGGTAACGGTGGAGCTGGCAGGCCCGCAGGGGAAGCCACAGGTGTCAGGAGACTCAGTGTATTTGTGGAGACCCTGAGTTCAGAGGCCACTGTAGAAAGAAAGGGAGAGTTCAAATGTGGGTGCTGCTTGGAGGTCTCAGTGTCCTGTTCCGCGAGGTCACCCTCTGCCCTCCCTCCTTTCCCTAGCCAGCCTCCTTAACACACATCCCCATGCTGCCAAGGGCTGTCAAGGGAATGAAACTTGCTTTATAATCCATTAGTTGTTTGGTCTTAGGTTTGTGCCACTCGTTGTGGAGAAGCAGAGGCACCATGCCTGAGCCCTGGGTCTGCCTTGCCACCCCAGGGCTCATCACCCAGCTTCTCTGGCCTCTGTCTCTCATCTATATGATGGGAGCTATCTTACTATCTACTTATAGGATTACTGTGAAGATGTGTGTGTTTACATTCGGGTGTGTGTGTATCACGTATGTAGCTAAATCTGTACAATGTCTGTCACCTTTCTCGTGTGGACAGTGTCTTTGTTCTCCCTCACTGCCTTTATCGTATACGTTGTAGTCATTCACAAAGTACAGTTCTGAGGGAGAAGTGCATATTTACTTATAGACCTTAGAAATGAACCTAGCACATGAGCACTGCTCAGTGTGTGTCACTGTTATGTTGCCTGAGCATCCAGGCTTCCTGAAACTGTACTGAATTTGACCCTGGAAGCATCCTTTTTTGGTGATTTAATAGTTACAATACCTCAGGCCAGTAATTGAAGGTCTCAGTTTTACCATCTACAAAATAGGGACCATAATGCTCCCTTCAGAGGGGTTGTAGGGTTAAATGATAACGTGTGTTAAAGGAGTATCATATAAGGAAAAATGAGATGCGAGTTCGTTTGACTTAATGCAAAAGTTGCAAGCCCAGAAGGAGAAACACATTGGGTAGAACCACACAGCACTCTTTGTAGAGCAGACCTAAGAAAAGCCTGTTCAAAGAGCCCCGGATAGCTCAGTCGGTAGAGCATCAGAAAAGCCTGTTCAAGGACTTGGTCCCCCTTTCCTTGTCCTGATAGAAAGCAAGCCAGGCTGCCTCACGGTAGGCACCTGTAGAGTGGGGGTTTATGTGTGTCACAGTGAGACCGCCAGCATGCAGCCCTTGCCACAGCTGTTTGACACTCCCCCTGCCGAACCGTGGCCCCTGGTGCTCATACTCCAGTCCTGTAGCCTGTGAACATGCGTTCCTAGGAGGAGACGATGGACCTGTGGATTGTGGATGGGTCATGTGGGGAGGGAATCCTTAACAGTGGGACTATAATCATGGGAATAATAAAGTAATAACATTCATGTGAGGCCTTAGACTCAGAGGCTTTTCCTTGCTGTGGTCAGAGGCAGGCCTGACTATGAAGGATGGTAAGGGTTGCACACGTGCTTCTGAGGATGGAGGAAGAGGGAGCTGGGAGAAGCCAACCCTCCCCCAAAAGTAGGTGACTTGTGGAAATTAGAGCAGTCAGGAAGCAAACTTGTCTCTCAGCTCCAGAGAGGCACATCAGGACTATGTGCCAAGTAAGACCCAGTCAGACTCGGGGTCTACAAAGCTGCGAGTCTCCACGTGTATCGTTTAACCCTGTTGTTCGCGGTAGAAAACAATGCAGAAGGGGAGGCTTTGTGGGCTGAACACTTGTGTCTGTTTCTAGATTCATGTTAGTTCCGAGTTGCAGTGTAGCCCTTGGGATAACCCGCCTGTAATGGGCTTAGTGCTCCTCTGAGGCATGAGAAAGAACCACAGAAAGGAGACATCTGTCCGCATGCCAGGAAGGAACCCCCCTCAGAAACCCAATAGACTGGGTAAAACTCTGTACCCTTTAGCTCCAGCCCTCAAGAGTCAGAGGCAGGTGCATATCAGTGAGTTTGAGGCCAGCCTTGTAAAAAAGCAAGCTCTAGGCAAGCCAAGTCTACGTAGAGAGAACCTAGGAAAACAAAAACAAAACCCTCAGCATTGTTACTGGCAATTGCTGGCTGCTTGGGGAGGACAGCCAGTTTTCTTCAGGGACACAGGCCCTGAGAGGCTTCCCATGCTCCAGGAGATGACTCCACGCCCATGTTCACACAGGCATCACTAAAAGCACTCAGTGGGAATTAAAAAAAAAGAGAGGGGAAATAGAGGAGGAACTGGAGGAAAGGGAACAGGGGAGTTCCTGATCCAAATGCATCATACACTTGTATGAATATTTCATACAGCATTTTGAAAAGAAAATCTATTTAAATGATTGAATAAAAGGGAATAAGAAAGAAAGGAATGAAGGAAGGAAGGAAAAATGAAAGAAAACCTGGCCATTGTTAGGTCTCAAAGAAATCTGAGACAAATGCCTACCAATGTCTAACTGAGGTGCCTATTTAAGATATCAAAGCAGACTCTAGGCACAGTCTCCTTGTCCCTACTTACAAGTACCTGTTCCAGAGTCTTCCCGGCCGGCACATCCCGCCTTTACCCTCTCCAGCCCCTGGGCCGTGCCTCCCTTCCCCCAGCTTCTCTTTGCTCCTTGCAGCGCAGCCATTTTGGCTATGTGCCCTCTTGGCTCCTGGCTGGCTCTGCTCCTGGATCTCTCTTGGTCCATTTGTCCTCCCCGATGGCCGCCCCTCCCCATGGCCCAGTTCGGTCTGGACTCTTCCAGATGCCTCTGGCTGTCCTCCCTCTCCTGTCTGCAATGAACCCTCTCCTCCACCACACCTTGGAGAAGTCATGCCCTTGTTTTTTGTTTTTGTTTTTTTTAAATTATTTATCTGGTACTGAAACCACAGTGTCCCATATGAGTTCCCTTCCTAGGGACTTGGCCTTTCTGAACTGAGGCTAATCTGACTCTTAGGGTAGGTATGCACCGTTTCTGCTGGTGTCTGCCACCTACCAAATTTGCCTCCAGATTCTGGAGTCTGCCTCTTCAGCTGCTGCTTCCCTCCACCTGCTCTAGCCAGCTGCCTCTCCTCACCTCCTCAGTGTCTCTCTGGCTCCGGCAGCCTGCTATGACTCCTGGACACCTGTCGTCTGGCTCCTGGAGCAAACTGCGCCATACCTGGGTCTCATATCCTCATCTCCCCGGCAGCTACATCCACGTGAGCATCTCTCTACAAAAGACAGTTACCCACCCCCCTTCCCCAAAAGCCTCTTCACCTTTTTCTCCTGTCCTCCTCAGCTGGATGGGAGTCACCCCGGAGCAGCCTGCTGTGGCTACCATGACTACAAAAGCCACACTGGCGTACCAGGATGCTCCTCTTGCCATCACGTGGAGAGGGACACCTCATCTTGTCTCTGACTTGGGACATTTCTCTTGGACAAGTCTCTCAGGTTGAGGATGCTCCAGATTGTAATTCTGGTCACCACAGCGCTTAGCTGAGCCCCCCTCTGCTCCTTCTTGGACTTTCCTTGCCTCTCCTTAGGAGCTGCAGTCCTGTGGCTTCCTCAAGCCTTCCTGGGCCTGTGACCTGTTTCTTGCCTCCTGCTCTGTGGGAATTCCTCTACTTTTCAACCCTGTTCCCTCTCATTCCCTCCTGCAGACCTGCAGCTTCTCTATGTCCTCCTGGGCCTGCAACACTTTCCTTGGCCCTCTCCCTCAGAGCTGTGTGTTCTCAGTTCCTTCTCAGAGCTTCCACCCCCCCCCCATCCTAGGAGCTACTGTCCTGTAGCTTCTGCCTCCTTAAGCCCTTCTTGGCCTCTGTGAGTGTCCCTTCTCTCTCAGCTCCCTCCCTCCTGGAAGTCCCACTGCTCCCTTACACCCTCCTGGGCCTTATATGACTCTTTTTCTTTTCCTCCCCAGATTTCATGGACCCTCACTGTCTTACTACGAATGGCTTGGCCTCAGCACAGCTCACTCAGTGGCTAACGATGGCACGCTCAATTTTAAATTCTCTCCTATGGTAACAGCTTCTACTATCACACAAGCAAATGGGCCCCAGATCTCTTATAACTAAACTTTCTCTGCTCTACACTTCCAAAAGTCTCTTATTTCTAAGGTTTTTATACTTTCCTCTCTTAAAAGAAACTTTATCTCTGTGATTTCTCTCAAACAAACAAAAAACAAACAAACAACCCCCCCAACCAAAAACCCTCTTAAGACTATGCTGTAAACTATCTCAGGATTTGTAAGTTCATTGGGTATGGTTAAAAATCTGTAACACAATTTAACTTAAAACTTGTAACAAAAGATTTATAGTTAAAAAAATCTATACCTGGGTAATCTTGTTTTGCTACAACATATTATTTATGTGACTGAACTCTTGTTTAGAATATTCTTTATATGTAATTTGGATTCAGCTCTTGTTTAGAAAATAGATCTGCTAGAAATTAGATGTTCTAAAACACCTTGTGGCTGGCAGCCATCTTTACCACGGTTAAAAAAGAGCGCACTCACTGTAACTTCACCAGCATCTTGGTTAAGATTAGCATGTGGTATAAAGCAACACTTATAAAACCTCCCAGTCCTGCTGAGCCCTCTGCTTATCACTGTGTCTGCCTTTTAGACCGAGGAGGAAACAGCAGGCCTCTAAAATATTTTGGATTGGGATGGATTTTTATGCGATAATAAATTCCCAAGGTTATAAAGGTCTACTCAGGTAAATAGAAACTGACTTACATCTTTGCTAACTACTCAGCAGTAGGTTTCTGAAAAATCTTAGATAAGGAACAACATATGTTTGATCAATAAGGTTTATAAATTCCTAAGGTCTACTCAGGTTAATGGTCTGTAGCTGACTTAAGAAATCTGTCTAGCCTCTTTGTCTTTGCTAACTTTTCTAACCTTTAGCTATTTGGGTAAACTGAGTCGTACAAGAAATTGTGCTATTCTGTAATGGTGCACTATGAAAGGATGAAAAAAATAAAAGGATTTCTGGTCTCTGTGTGAACTGTATTTATTTATGGTTTTGTAAAGTTTCCAGTCTCTCTATGGACAACATTTATGGCTTCAAGTTTTATTTTGTTGCTAAAGGATCTTCAATTAAATCTTCAACTCAAATTTAAAGGCTCAACTTAACAGAAAAGCTGTTAAATCCTAATCTTATAAAGCTACTACCTTATAAACTGTTAAAGATAATTAAGAGGTGCAAGTTAATGTTCAGCCATGTTATAAATGATCAAATTTTAATGTACTCTTTAATGCACTATGCTCATAAGCCATGCCAAGTACAAATGTAATTCATTTTAATTAATATTCTATATTTGTTTTCAAGGTTAAGCCTGAAACTAGTAACTAAAACAAGTAAATTATGTTTAACTCAGTCATACTTTAATAGGTAATGGTCCTCAACTTCTTCAGAGATCTATTGAAATTGGCACTTGACTGTTTAGTGGAAAAATCTTCCCACAATGGGCAGAAATGCCAGCTCCTAGCAGCAACCCTGTGGTCTCCAAAGACGATGACAGGGCACATATGACTTCACCTGGATTGGTGAAACTCTAATCACTTGGAAAAACTACCCCATGCCTCACCTGCTGCCAGGGCTCTGTCCAAGCTGTGGACACTATTGGGTTGACTGTTCTACTCAGCCTTGCCAAAGTGGGTCAGTTTTTCCAGATTCCTTCTCCACAGGAAAATCTTTCAGACTTTCTGGGTCTGGCAGCCGAAGGCCAATCCTATTCCAATCAGCAGCCAAAGATGTAATGTCTGTCCTATGTGACAACCAAAGACCAACTACTTCTACCCACAACAAAGTCAACATCACAGGAGCCTAGGATAACCATCCTGGTAGCAGTAGGTTTCTGTCTTCTTACTTGACACATAAGCCACTTGGATTATACTTCCTGCTATAATTTATCCTTTGCAGATCTCTGATGATATTGATGGCTAACTGTAGCTTTATGTTAACAGCGACAGGCGAACAGCTCCTCTGGGCAAGGCTGCAACTCAATTAATTTCCTATATAAAATCTGTCAACTGGTCTCACTTGTTTCTAGAACTAAGTTTCCTGCTGAGAAAGGCAGGCACAGACACGGTTTACCATGTTGGCACACCTCACAACTGAGAGACACACTCACAACAGGTTTCCATGTAACTTTTTACTTTATTTAGAGGAACTTTCTTTGCAATAACTGCTCTCAGGAACCAACCAGCCGTGTCTCATGGTAAATGATTAGATGAAAAAAAAAGTTCAAAGTTTATGTAAATTAGGAGGGTCTAAGAAAGTAATTTAGGGTATGAAAAGGTACACAAAAGTAATTTAAAGTAACAACAAATGTTTCAGATTTCTTTTCCTTTCTATGCTATTGTTATATTAAGCCTTGTGAAGTTAGCAGTTTTAACATTATTCAATGGAGTTCTGATACACTGTTCATTTAGGCCCTGGTAAAGCGCTGCTATTATTATCATAGTCACAAGCTCAAAATTTAAAATTTTCTTGGTTGCCTCCTAAATATAGACTTAAAAGTGCTTCTCAATCATGCTAAAAATATCTCTGACCAGTCTACATATCCAGCTCCCTGGATTTATAGGAAAAGTGTTAATGCTTTTAACCCAGAATCCTATCTTTTAGCCCAGAATCCTACCTTTGGGCTCCAAGCTTCTACTCTGACTTGAAAGCGTGAATCTACTGCTTTTTCTACAATGTGGATTTCAGAACAGTTTTCAAACAGGGGTAATGCTAATATGTCTAAAATTTTTGTCTTTTTGTAAACTTAAGAAATTCTTATCAGTTTCAGGAAGTTATGACTATTACAGGTCAAAGGTTACAGACTCCAGATAAGCACTCCTGTTAATCAACAGACTAAGTTTTCCCACCTACTGCCTACACCTGAGAGTGGACTCCCCATTTCCCTGGTCTTGGGACTCCTCCCTTCTTCTAATTACCAGGACCATGGGCCTGGAAGTTTCCAATGTACACCCAAGATAGAATTTCCCCTAAGCTCCTTCACTTTGCCTTCTGTTCCTCGTCTCCGCCTGTCCCAGCAGATTTCCAACCAGCTAGAATGCAGACTGCTTCAAAACTGCCTGCAATGCTCCAGCTCCAGGGGTTCCTTTCGAACCTGTGTCCTAGACTGCTCCAAAGCAGTCTGCACTTCACTAGCCCTGGGTGGTCCCTCAGAACCTGGGCAGCAAGAGAGAGCAGAGCAGCTGTCTCCCAGCCTGTGCCCCTCCCTCCCTTCCTGGCTCGACCAACATCCAGCCTTCCTGCCCCCACCCCCACCCCACCCCCATCCCGCACAAGACCAAGACATCCCTGTTTCGGCAAGAAGTAATTACAGAAAAGATGATGTCACCCCTTATCATCAACAAGAAAACTATGGTGTTAAGTTTCAAAGAAACTCAGGACCAATGTCTAACTAGATGCCTATTTAAGATATCAAGGCAGACTCTAGGCACAGTCTCCTTGCCCCCACTCACAAGTACCTGTTCCAGAGTCTTCCCGGCTGGCACATCCTGCCTTTACCCTCTCCAGCCCCTGGGCTGTGCCTCCCTTCCCCCAGCTTCTCTTTGCTCCTTGCAGCGCAGCCATTTTGGCTATGTGCCCTCTTGGCTCCTGGCTGGCTCTGCTCCTGGATCTCTCTTGGTCCATTTGTCCTCCCCTGATGGCCGCCCCTCCCCATGGCCCAGTTCAGTCTGGACTCTTCCAGACGCCTCTGGCTGTCCTCTCTCTCCTGTCTGCAATAAACCCTCTCCTCCACCATACCTTGGAGCATGTCCTCATTTTTCATTCAGCCATGTGGCACTTTGGTCTTGGGCTTTCAAACTTCTGTAACCAATGCTTGTTATTTCAGCTGTGCATTCTACAGTGCTCTGTTTAGGGAAGCAGGGATGATGGTCCTATTCCACCTTGTAGATGCTGACACAGAGGCTCAGAGGAGACCACATGATGATTTTGTAACTCAGTGATCCTGAGCTCACCCATGGGCAATGAATAAGGCAGCACTTGTATGGTAGCTTTGGATTAGCTCCAGACAATGCAGGTGCATTAGAAATCGTAGCCTCCTGGTGAGGGGAGGCTCGGTGCCTGACAGCCCGGCCCTGCTGAGGAGGTGGAGGCTGAGCAGGAGTAAAGAATGCAGACTTCCCTAGACTTTACCTGCTTGTTCGCATCTCTGTTGGGCGGCGCACTTGCGTGTAAATCACTTCTTCTTCAGGGTCTATTAGGAAGAAGGTGAAGTCTCAGAGGATAAGCGTCTTATCTCTTTTCTCAGCTACTTCCCCTCTCTGGCCAGTTTGTTCTCTGGAAGGATTTTAGCCCTCCAGGGTTTGCCATCTTCCTGGCCCTGCTCTGATATGCACCCTGTGATTTCTGTCAAACCGGAGACTGGAGGGCCCCTGTCCTCACCATTGCTGTATACTGGTTGCAATTCTATACAGACTGGTACGTTGTAATAGGTGGGCTCCTGGGGTTCCGAATATGAAGAGTTCCTGTAAGATATAGAAACACTAATGTTTCCCAGGAAGTGAGAGAGGGGATGCTCACCCCTTTTAAAGAATTTTCAGTCAATATTATTCCCTTTTCAGGGTTTATGGCCACATGACATGTAAGAGGCGCCATGCTAATGCTTAGAAGTACTTAGTTCTGCTTTGTTCCCATTTTATATGTGTAAGCAGTGGGCATTCTATAAGGCTACCTGGCTTGCCCACACTACTAAACCAGAAAGGGGAAGAGCCAAGACTTAAAACAGGCCTGCGGCCCTTCTCGGAGATACAAAGATCAGATAGGTCCTAAGAACTCTGGTGGTTTGGACACGGCTACCATGGGAGACCCAGCGACAGTTTGTAAGCTGCCTTTGGGCGACTGTTAAAGTGAGCCTCCAGGATGCAAGAGGGTGGCCACTTCTTCACAGACAATACTTGTTGACAGAATGACTTTTCTAGGTCTGTGGGTATGTGGCTCCATCTTTTTGACTGTCATTGCAATGAATTTTGACTAGGCTAGCCACGCTCAGAGATTTCTAGGCTAAGTAAGCTATATCATCTCAAGAGGGATGGATTCAATGTCTGCATGATAGGAGAAAGGAACTAGAAGAGCACTTTCATGATTAACATGAAAGAAGCCAAGCTTGCAGAGGAAGACCAGAAGCCCTTCCTCACCTTGGCATTGCCTAATAAAGAGAATGTGTGTGAAACAAAGTCCAAGACTTACATATGGGAGGGAGGGGTGTTATAAAGACCCCGTACCACACGGTCAGCTGTCTTTTGGGCTCTTTTCTTGGCTCACTAGCCTACTTCTGTTCTTGGATGTGATATTTCTTTTCTTAATAAACTAATTCTATTCCATGCTGCTCAACTTAAAAGGCTTGACTTTTTCTCCATCTTTCCTTGTTGGTGCCACCAGGATTTTCAAATAACTTGTCCATGTTCTTCTCTTAAATTCTAGTAAAATAGTTACTGAGCTTCCTTTGAATCTTTCTGAATTCTTTTATTAATGAGAATAAGAGCCTCCAAAGGGAATCTCAGTTTCCCTGTTAACTATCAAAGTAGTCATTCAGACAGCCAAGCTAACAGTGGTACCAGGAAGTGAGTTAATAAATGAAAACATTTACCACTTGATGTGGGAAGGAGGCTTGGCTTTCTGTAGCTAAGAGGAGATTCTGGGAATTGGCTGGAAACATCCCAAGGGAGGGGCAGCATCAGCTGGGCACAACCCACCTCAGGAACATGTGTAGAAATTGTGCTCTTGGTGTTAATAAGATTCGATTTAATTTTTCTGTCCTATGGGTATTTCATTACTTCCAGAAATAAGGTCAAGTTCTTACCTGGAGTCATCAAAGGCAGGCTTTCCCCCTGTAAAGGAAGACATTGTGTTTCAGGAAGGGGGGACCTTCATGGAGGCTAGGGGCAGCTCAGAAGGGGTTCACACAGCAACTGCCAGGAGATCTGAATCTTTGCTGTGCTGACAGGGTGGGAGAGGAATAAGAACAACTGAACTATTGCTGCTGGCCTCAAGTAAAAGGAACCTCCTCAATCCGTACTCCACTAACCTGGATTTTAAATGATAGTGGTCTTTAATGACTACAGATAGTTTAATAGATTCAGCAGGAAAAATAGACTTAATCGTCAATAAAAATGCTATACATTTTAAAAATCAGTCAATTACCACATCCTATTTGGGTTCTGTTTTGACTTCCATCTCTTGGAGTCTTTCTCTTCCTCTCATTCTTTGGGAAATCTTAGGACCACCCAGAGGAGAGCCTCTGCCCTTTCTAAGGTTAGACAAACAGCATCTCATGAGGCATGTTGCTCTCAATGTGGCTGTTGGAGCAACTTTGTGTTTGGTAAACAGGACTTCTGAAAGACCAGGCAGGGAAAGAGGAGGGATCATGAGGGATCGTGATGGAGGAGGAAGAGCTCATGAGCCTAGGGATAACCACATAGTCAGTGTGAGAGCATACAGTAACAGAGATGGGAAGGGCCTGCTTCGGGAACCACCCACCGGCTTTTCTAGAGAACCAGCAATAGAACAGGACTCCAGCAGCCACACCAGCCACGACGAGCAGTCCCCCAGTGATTCCAGCGGCCACGGGAACACTTCTGTTCTTGATCATATCTGGGGGGGGGCAGAGATATCCAGGCATAAGGCCAGGAAGAGATGTGCAGTTTTGAATGACTCTGAGCCTCAAACCTGGTGTTTCGGCTTGGGGGAGGAGAGGAAACTTTGTGACCGGAAGTCGTGAGGCTTAGTTGTGACTGATGTGGCACAGGAGATGGCTTATTTGTTTGTGAGGAAGCTTGTCTTGGTGTCTGTGCGCTCAAAGAAAGGCCTAGGGTCAAGATAGACTGTGGCTGGGGAGGAGAGGCAGCTGGCTGATGAGCTGTAAGCTTCCAGATGCTCTCGGAAGTCTCTCTGTCCCACACCAGTTTAGAACCACTTCAGAGTATAATGGCCTGGAGAGCCATGAGCTCAGGGAACTTGTCTTTGAGAAGCACTTTACTGGTCAGCCATCTTGAGTTCTATGTGTTGAAGCATGTATTCTGGTCTCATCTGGTTTGAGCATGAGAAATTTACCAGTGATTTAAAAAAAAAGAAGTGTCACTTTCTTTCTGTTCTGGGACCTTAGGCCATTGTCAGTGTCACATAAGTTTCCAGAAAGTTCTGCAGTCCCAGAGATGTTGACAGACACCTCTGCTCCCATATCATGCACCACAGCCTGGGCCCTGGGGACCCTGAATGTAGGGACAGGGCAGAGCACTAGAAATAAAACATCAGCTAAAGCTTCTGCTTGTAACACATTTGTTACCCTTAAAAGGGACAAGTGATAACATAAGCAAATAAAATTTAAGTAAAAACATTTGATACACTTGAAAGCCAGTTACTTTGACCTACAAATAGCTTTTCATGAACAAAAATATTCAAGAGAAAAGTGAAAGTTTTATACGAATTACTGAAAATACCTGTCAACAAATATGTAAAAGACACATCTTCATTATTAATGAAATGCACAATTAAATCCAGCCGTAGACTATTGCTCCTTTATGCTTAAGCGGGTTGATAATACAGATGAAGCTGTGGCAACGCAAACTGAGGACACATTTTTTTTGAATGGCAGTTTGACAATATCTATAAAATTCAAAACAGCTATAAACTTGGAGCTCACAATCCCTCGGAGGACCAAGTAGATAAAGCATGTTTGTTCAGTGACCACCGGACCAGCTACGGAGGCTGAGATCTGCACCGGTGCCCTGCCTTCACGATATGCCGGGCGCAATAGTGGCACTGACGTGGAGTAACCAATCACCGTGTGGTTGGATTCCACTCCATGAAACGGGACCCATACCTGACACCGCTCTGGTGGCCAGGATCCTGAGACTGGGCGTGCCATGAGCCTGGGGAAGGGCAATCAAACCTCTCCTAGTGACACTCTGCTGCACCCGTGGAGTAGTGCCTCCCTCCTCTACCATCAGAGAAGCTTCCCCTTGCAGTAGACGGGAACAAACTCAGACCTACAACTGCCAACGTTCAGAGAATGAGGGATCTTGGAATACCCATTCCTAAGTGGGTTGTCTTCATCATATTGCTCAGGGTTCCGAGGGCTACGGGGAAGAGAAGGTGCAGAGATTGTAAGAGCCAGAGGAGATGGGTGACACCAAGAAAACAGTGTCTTCCAGATACAACAGGAATGATAAACACATGAATTTACGGAGACTGTGGAAACGGGCGCAGCGACGACACAGGGTCAAGCCAGATAGGGTCCCACACTGAGAAGGGGAAGTGGACACAGGTTTCCATCTCTGAGCAGGAAGCTACCTCCAGCTGACATCTGCTTGCAAAGGGAAAATGAATTTTCTTCAACGAGTCTCACTAGGTATGTTATAACCACTGTGGTAGTCTGAGTAAGAATGGCCCCTATAGGCTCTTATATTTGAATGCCTAGTCAGTAGGGACTGACACTATTGGAAAGGATTAGAAGGATTAGGAGGTTGTATGCCACTGGACTTGGAGAAGTATGTCACTGATAGCCTTTGAGGTTCAAAAGTCCATGCTGACTCCTTTGCTTACAGACCAGGATGTAGCTCTCAGCTACTGCTCCAGCACCCTGTCTGCCAGCCGCTGTGCTCCCACCATGATGATAATGGACTGAACCTCTGAAACGGTAAACAAGCCCCAAGGAAATGTTTTCTTTTCTAGGAGCTACCTTGGTCATGGTGTCTCCTCACTCAAGGATAGGCCATGTGCCCAGCTACAGATGACCAACACAGAGGAACTCAATGGTACTTTTGTAAACTTTGTCTCGAATTGCTTTGTTTGAGCATTTTTGTCTTATTACTTTTTCTCATGTATTATGGTTCATGATTTTGAGTTTTTGTGGCTTTTTTGGTATGTATATATGGGAAAAGGTGTTTTCAATAATATATGCTATACACACAATATGATAATATATTATATAACAATATATTTATATATGTATGTATAGCTACATGTATATAGTTCATGCAGGATTTGTATGGTAATGTTTCTGTAACACAATAAAAACTGGGGGTAACATGATAGACTGGGTAAAGAAGTAAAGAAGACAGACAAGATACACAGAATCTATTTTAAACTAAAAATAGGGGTTTTTGTAGCTAAATGAGGGATATAGTCCTGTTATAAAAACACTTTACCCTTTATTCCTCAGTAGTGAAGCATCTGGTAAGTTACCCATGTTTAAGTAAATGACTGCAACTCATGTTTATGCAGGCAACCCTAATTAAACGCAGTGGGGCAAAGGATACATAAAGATAAGAAAGTAGGCGGTAGCTTGTTGGGAAAAAGAAAGAGACAGGAAAGAAAAGAGGGGCCAAAAAGATTCGAAAGGATACTCTGGCGAGAGGAGCTGTACTGAGATACCATGTCAGGAAACAGCCTTTGCTTCAGATGCTGGGAGGAGTAGGTGCTGACCAGTGTTTGCGTGTTCTAACTCCCCTGTGATGCTGACTGTCACTGCCTCGCTGTGCTGGGGCCCCAGGATATTGCCAGCCTCACAGGGGAAGTTCCCTAAAAGTTCCATGTTCAGAAAAAAGTTGAAGGGCTTCACTATTTCAGAGAGGGCTGAGCTGCTCCCCAGGGTCACATCATCATGATAAAAATGGTACAAGATTAGAGACTGGGAAGCCTTCCAGGGTCTCACAGTGAAGCGTCACGATGTCCCCCACCACAGCTTGGGCCCCAGAGACCCTGAAGGTTAGGGCAGGGTGGGACAGTGGAACTGAGTGAGAAAAACCAGCCCGTGGTCCCTTCTGTTTGAACAGTCCTCCACACTGAAGGCATGTCCACTGCAAAATGTTTTATACTAGTTTTTAGTGGCCTTCTTAGAGTCCTCAGAACTCATCTGTAATTTATTCTACTCTTGGGAAATGAGAATGTATGCATAAAGTTGTATGTGTTTTGAAGTACCCACACATAAACGCAAACATGTTTGAGGAATCTGAGAATAAAGACGCAGCTGAAAGCTGGGCACCTGAGAAATGAGAGGATTGCTAGGAGAAGGAGAAGTGGGCCTGACAGGAAAAGACAGGAAAAGACAGGAAACGCCAAGACCGGCCGTGGAAAAGGGGGCAGGGGCTACGAGGCAGGCAGCGTGTGCAAAGACGGGAGATGGGAAATGGCTGGTCCTTGGGAGTTGTTGCAACAGCATGGGTGGCACTCAGAAGGGGCCAGCGTGAGACCGGAGAGTCAGTCAGGACTTGTGAGGCTTTGTCGTTCTTTATCAAGCAGTGGAAGGGCATGAAGATGGATTGAAATGGGGCAAATGGGTCATGGAGTGGCACTTTAGTAGTCGGATTAATGGTGGCAGGGAGAAGTAGAGAGGATCTAAGCAACGCCTGGGAAGGGACATCAATAGGACTGCTGTGAGGGGGCAGGGAGATGTCCAGGAAGATCCCTGGACTCTCCGCTAAGTCTCTCGATGGAGACACCCTGCAGACGCACGAGCCTGAGTTTGGAGTGTCAGTAGTCCCCTTCCAGAGATGTCCAGCTTTGGAGCTTTCCAGAAGAGTGGGACATGACACATGCAGGTCCTCGGGACAGGGGGTCTTCAGGGACACATGTGTAGGACCATCACAGATAGCCAGGTCAGCTACAGATGATGGGTGCAGACTCATCTAAAGAAATAGTACAGGTAACAGAACACACTGCACGTCATGACTTCCCTTTTCGCCTAGAATACAGTCCGTGTTTTGAGAAGCCTTTACCCTATGTTAGAGCCTTGGTCACGATGAACGAAGAGTGATGCTATCAGGAAAGGTTGCAAATTTTGCAACATGTAAAACCCAAAGCTCCCTATAGAGACTGTGTAGACAGAAGGCTTGCTATAACACCACACAGTAGCTGCTTCTGTGAGAAATACCCCAACCTTGCCTCCTGGTCATGGAAGAGAGGCAACAGCCCTCTGTACTGTAGAGGAGCACAGATCATGTCCAGCCAGAAGAGGTCCAAGCTGACAACCAACACCATTACAAGATGGCTCTGGGAGGAAGCTACGGAGGCAAGGCTTCAAGCGTTTGCTAAGAAAAACAATTGGCTGCCCAAACTCACACCCCATGAGGTCATCACACTCGCAGACTGTGCCCAAGAGGAGAAAGGACACTAGATACATAATAGGAATACCTTTAAAATTACCGGGGAATACTTTTCCTGCCCTGAGGTTTGTTTTTGACTTTAAGAGGGCCTTACTGTTACATAGTAAATGAGATCTTGCTTGACTTGACTCCCTGTTGTATTTGATTGTCTCCAGGTTCCAGGGAGGCTGCCCTCTCCAACCTCTCCCAGGGGGATCCTAGAGACCCCAACATTGTACCGCTAGTTTGAAGAGCCGACTTACCCATAACACTCAGTGCCAGCATATCACTGCTCTGGGGCCCCCGGCCATTGTCAGCCTCACAGAAGTAGTTTCCAGAATGTTCTGCAGTCACAGAAAAGTTGAAGGACCCTCTTCCTCCAGAAGGGGCTAAGCTGCTCCCCAGGGTGACATTTTGGTGATAAAAGTGGTACAGGATTGGAGGAGAGCCTCTCAGAGCCTCGCAGTGAAGTTCAACCACGTCTCCCACCGCAGCCTGGGCCCCAGGAACCCCGAGTGTGAGGACAGGGTGGGACACTGGAACTAAGGGAGAGAATGAGTTAGTTCACACCAGTGCCTTTTATTTTTAAATTAAAAACCCCAATATATTAAAATTAAGAATGAAATTTTTTGTCATGTATTTTCATTTTTTAGAGCTCACATTTGTTGATTGAGTATTTCATGTCTTCCTCTGTACCTTTTCTTTCTTTCCTCTATTTTTTTTCCACCTGAGATAGAGTCTAATTAGACAGCCCAGGCTGGCCTTGAACATTAGCTTGTTATCTTCCCAAGTGCTGAGATCAGAGCTCTGCACCACCACAGCTAGAGTTTTCGCATCTTTCCTCTGTATGGGTACACTCATATCAACACATAAACCAACACAAAAATGCGTACAACGGATCACAGTATACACACTGACTTATAATCTGCCCTTGCCCTTAGCATTGCGGAAGCCCCAAATGAAGAGCTGCTCTGACTGTGACAATTGGTGTGGCAGAGCCTAGTACACAGTGTGTGTGTGGGGGTGTGCACCATGCCTGGGTAAGTGGTACTGGCTACTTAAGAAAGCAGGCTGAGCAAGCTGTGGAGAGCAAGTCGGTAAGCAGCACCCCTGCGTCTTCTGCTTCAAGCTTCTGCCTTGGCCTCCCTGGAGGATGAACTGTAAGCTGAAATAAACCTTTTCCTCCCCCAGCTGGTTTTGGTCGGCTTTATCACAGTGATGGGGTACTAACTAATCCACAAAGAACTCAGTGCCGTTGAGTCCCAGGGCAGTAAATTCTGGGGCTAGCAGAAGCCTTATGAAACAAGTTATGAGGTAGGGAAGCTGAGTTCAAAGCACTCAGCACCAAGGGCAATAGAGACAGGAAAATACAGGAAGAAGGTATTTGGAGGACTTAATAGAGTAATAGAAACTTCTAGCTTACTGGTGTCAAAAACCCCACCCAAAAACAGTTCTATTTTGAGAAATATATTCTATTGCAAGAAATCTTCTAGTTCTTGCATGAGCTGGCTATGTTGCCTTTCTTATTTTTTCTTACTCTCAAGACAGCCTTGCAACAAATTGTCACCTACCTAGGACTAGGACTCCTGGCCCCCTTTCTGTGTGATATGAAACAGTCTGCCATATCAGACTCAGTATTTTTCAACATGTTCTATTGCTTTGAAAAACAACAACAACTGGATTTTTGCTTTCCCCTAAACAAAGATCTAAGTACAAATAGAAGCAAATTTGTTCCTCCAGTGACTTATTTGTGATGTTAACAAATGACTTTGATCAACAATGACTGTATACTAAATAAGATGAGGCCTGACTGCTACCTCTAACTACAAGGCATGGCTGAAGAGAAGTGATTGTACAGTCAGAGGCGTCTGCAAGAGTTCAGGGCAGGGAGAGAAAGCAGAGGACTGAATATGGCCATCAGAGGGAATGGGGCCATTCAAGGAGGGCAAGAGGGGGCGGGGAGCAAAAGAGTAGGACCAAGAAGGAGAGGCTAGAGAGAGAGGCTCCAGAGAGAGGGGCAAGCAGACCAAGACAGGGCAAAGAGAACCAAGCCGGTGCATGGTCCAAATGGCAGGGTTATATAGGAATGAGAAGCTGCTGGGAAGGGAAGCCCAAGGCTGGAGAAGTTTAGGGTAGGGGTAGGGGGCAGGGTGAGAAGAGCCCAGAGGAGCCAGCACGGGACTCAGCAAGAGGCCCTTGTTGAAAGAGTCTGGAGGCCAGCATGCACTTTGGTATGCTAATAGGCATCACAGTTAGCCATTTGTCCAGGGTCTCTTTTGGACCTGACGTATCCATTTCTGCTACCCTTCAATAAAGGTCTAGAAAACTACATGATGCAAGCCCATTTGCTTAAATGGACTTATAGAAAGAGGATCATGAAACCCCTAGAAAATTCAGCAACACATTTCCCCCAGAAAGCCATTCCCTTCCTTTCTTTCAAACCTAGTCCTCTCCCAACCTATGTCGAGAGCTATAATTGCTTGGAACTCTTTGGAAAAACTAAGGTCTTGCATAATAATTGTTCATTCCTCTGTTCTGTAGAGAAGTGGGTGCCTCTGTTGATGAAGAGAAGTTATCTTGGGAACTAAACATTACAGGGCACAAGCAGACAGCTTGTGAGATGGCCATACACATTTGTTGAAAGCTATGGATCTAGGCAGGAGTCAGGTCTAGCCTGGGCTAGATAGGCACTGTAGCCCACAGACAATAAATTGGCTGAGAGGAGAGCCTAGAGCAGGGCTAGGGTGTTAAGGAAATAGAGGTGTGGGGACAGACTTCCAAAGGGTCCGGTGAGAGTGAAATCTGTGTAGCATTGAGTGTCAGCGGGAACCCAGGTCTTACCAATGACAGAGATCCATACAGCCTCACTACGCTGGGCCCCAAGGCCATTGTCAGCGGTGCAATAGTAGTTTCCAGAGCGTGCTGTGGTCATAGAGAAATTGAAGGATGCTCCTCCTCCAGAGAGCATAGAGTTGATCTCCAGGAAGACATCCTCATAATAGAACTCATACTGGATACGTGGAGAACCCCTCAGGGATTTGCAGTGAAGTGTCATCAACTCTCCCTCAAGGGCCCGGGGCTTGCCGGTGCTTAGGGTGAGGACAGGTTGAGATACTGGGACTGAAGGAGAGAAAACGGGTTGCCAGTTACTTCTGTTTGCTTCTGTAGATCTCAACCCAAGGCTAATGCAAATGCCTAGTCTCCAGCCTACCAGACCTTGGGACAGCTCAACCTCTAAGACTTGTGATCAACAATCTCCTGACTTCCATGCTGGCCCATCTATCCTGGCCCTCTTGTTTGATGACTCGCCTTCATTTTACAGAGACGATACCTTCAGGGGAGACATCTGTATTTTGCTGTCACAGAGCTGACACCCTTTCCCTGACCACCCCTTTGCTCTTGTGTGACCTGTTTGCTTTCCCGCATTTTAAGACTCCATGCAGTCTCTGTTCTCCATCTCTCTACTCAGGGGAACGTCAGTGCTTTTTGCCAGGAGCTTTTCTCTTTTGAATTCGCATGCTCTCCCAGGTACCTGGAATGATCCTCTATCTACCGGTGAGAAGTTGAACAGGGAGAGGTAAGGTTGGATGGGAGCTCTAGCTGTTAGGAGCATGCAACCTGACCCTGGATGTGTCCTGATCTGGATGTGACCTGACCCTGATGTGACCTGACCCTGGATGTGACCTGACTCTGAGTGTGACCTGACCCTGGATGTGACCTGACCTGGATGTGACCTGCCCTGGATGTGACCTGACCTGGATGTGACCTGACTCTGAGTGTGACCTGACCTGGATGTGTCCTGACCCTGATGTGACCTGACCTGGATGTGACCTGACCCTGATGTGACCTGACCCTGGATGTGACCTGACTCTGAGTGTGACCTGACCCTGGATGTGACCTGACCTGGATGTGACCTGCCCTGGATGTGACCTGACCTGGATGTGACCTGACTCTGAGTGTGTCCTGCCCTGGATGTGTCCTGCCCTGGATGTGACCTGACCTGGATGTGACCTGACTCTGGAGGCTGCTGCTTTTGATGGACAGTAACTTTTTGCTCCATTGCCTGGGCACAGGAGTCATATTTCAAACGTCCAGTGAACAGAGAGAGGTGTTGAGGTCTGGGGGTCTTAGGATTTCAGTCTCATGGTAAACCAGTGGGCGGGAGGGAAGCATTCTCTTGGCCTCCTGGTGAAGCCCTATCGCATTCGCCACTGGGGCTTGAAGACGCAGCGTGGTCAGAGAAGGGTACCTGACAATCCTTACCCTTATGGTAAGATTTGTCAGGAGGCATCTCCCAAGATGCCCTGGTTCTAGCATCCCATCTGCTCTTCCTTTATAAAGAGCCATTTCATTTCAACTGAGCAGTAATTTGTAATTTATAAAGGGTGTATTCCTACTCACTGAGCATTTTCTTCAACCCGACTCTCTAAGAGTTCCCACTGCCCTCAGCCCCTTCAGTCTACTTTGAAGTCTTTCCTGTGTTTGAGTAATTCCTGGCAGGTTATTCAGAACATTGGATTATTGGTAACTGACAATATCTCCTTCCCCCCTACTGTCTTAAGTCCCCACTAAGGATCTCGGTGTGTAGTTTGGGGGACCCATTCCTCAGATGATGCCTGACAGCACACACCTTTTATGGTGATGGGGACTGCCTGGCTGACAAAACTTCGGCGACTGTTGTTGGCCTCGCAGTAATAATCCCCCGAGTCACTGCTGTTTACCATGGAGGTCTTGAATTCTGCTTCCGAGGACTTAGGAATCTTTGTTTCTTTATTCATCTTGTCCCTTTTGTACCAGGAAAATCTGATGGGTCCTGGCACCCCTTTTACTGAGCAGTTGAATAACAGCATCTGTCCTTCAAACACCAACTTTGAGCCTGGGACAGTGTGTATTTGGAAGTCTGCAAAAGCCCCTAGATAAACAAGAATGACATATGTGGGACATTGGTGATGGGATGCTCATAGATGGGGGGTGGGGAAGACAAAACCTGTTGTGTCATGTGAGAAGAGTAGAGTTAGGCTTCTCTCTGGGAAGTGGACAGAGGGGGGAGACTGCGTTTTGCCTGCTGAAAAGGCCCTGTATCCCTCAATGTCCTTATCAAGAATATGGACAAGGAATCTCGGTTATTCTGCCCAACCTGACCTCACGTCTACCCATCCCATTGGACAATTCCAGAGGTGCCACCTAGTGCTCCACACTTAGGAGAAGTGGTGGAGATGTGAAGGGAAAGGGGAGACCTGGCATCAAACATGATTGTTCCGAGTGCAGTTGACTGGAAGTAAAGCACCAACGTAAGTAATAAGCTGGCCTCAAGTCAGCACTACTTAACCTCTCCAGTATATCTGTCAGGTGGGCAAGGAGAGGAAGTGCAGGACAGATTGACAAGGAAGGATCGTCTGTGCTGGGAACAGTTTTAGGTATATTAGCTTAGAACAGTGCCTTTTGAATTATTCTCCAGTCTTGGAGAACAAAACATGGCAGTCGAATAGAGGGTGGGAAGCGTGTGTGGTTCAGCGATTATGTTGAATGAGAGACTGTGCTAGGAACCACTGTAATATGGCTGTTGGATAACACCCTCTCTGATTTCTCTGAACCGTCCATCCTTAAACCAGTATCCACAGGAACACCCATTTTCTACAACCAAAGAGCAGACTGGTAGAGGTTAGTCAGTGTAGGAGAAACATTGCTTTCTTAGGAATGGGAGCAAATTCACGGGTAGTGTTATCATTCCCTCCTCACTCAGAATCTGGGTATTTTAGAGTGTGTGTCCCCTCCTATGCTCAACTAGATTTCCTGTGTGATGGATCAAATTCAGTCAGGTAAGTAAGGCCACTGGCTGACGATGCGCTCTAGAAATCGAGGTTATTTTAGAGCCCGAGGAAAAAGAGATGGAATGTGCAGCTCCATCTCTAAGGCCAGCAAGATGGAATTGTTTATTTCCCAAGACTTCTTCTGTTGTCTTTCTTACCCTTAAGCAGCCCATATCAGGTACCTAGTGTTCTAGAAACCCATCTGTTTGGCCGACCAGAACATTCAGCCCAGGATGAGGGCTGCCCTATAGCTCACAGCTTAGGACTATAGCACCGGAAGGAAAACATGTCAGGGAGAGGTAAGTGGCTTTATCTAAAGGCTTCCTCCCCTTTTTCTTGATTCTAAGCTCATCAAGGATATCCACATGGGCTGAATATTTCCACTCATACAACTTCCACAGGCATGAGAAAGTGCTTTCTATGGAGACTAGTGATCCACGTTGGCATGGTGCTTTTGTATAACTTCCAGTCCATACCCGGGAAATCTCAGAATGATACTCACTCTGCACAGGAATTTTGAATGCCAGGCTTTGTTTGCTTACTTGGGCATTCATTGCTTCTGCTGAGCACAGGTACCACATGGAATCTTCAGTCCATATGGCAGGGATGTGGAACTCCGAGGAGTTGCTGCAGCCTGACTTCAGAACCTGGAGGTTTCTGAAGAAACAGAACTGGATCTGGTCGGCTGACCTCTGTGCAGAGAGCTGAGTATGACAGGTCAGGGTCACCGGGCTTCCATCTATGGGTTGGGAGGGTCTGGCTGTCAGCACAGGACGTGGGAATAACGCTAGAACGGATCACAACCATCCACAGAGCCGTTAAGTTCTCCTCAGAAAACCCCACTCACCCTCAGCACCTGCTAGCATGTGGAGTGATGCCGCTCCCCAACGGCCCGCAAGAGAGAGGTGCCGCTTTTAGCCACCAGCATCCTTCCACCCCAAACACTGGGTTTTCTCTCAGTGGAATTCCAGCCCGCGCTTCCTAGTCTACCTCTGCAACCATAGAGGGCTTGCTTCTGATTAATCTGTTCAGAATAATTAAAGCTGTACCTTGGACTTGAATTTTGACCTTATTGGAAGACCAAGCTCTGTACCAAACGTCCACAGCGCAGTGGTATTCATCGTCGTCCCTCAGATTGGCATGATGGATATAGAGCTCAGAACCTTGACGGGATGTTTTCAGAGCGACACCATTCTTGTAAAATGTCAGGCTTTTTTGTGCTATAGTTCCCTTTGCGCGGCACCTCAGAACCACGGAGTCTCCTTCAAACACCGCAGGTGGAGCTTGCAGCACCAGTGAACCTGTGAGACACACCCGGCCCATCACCTGCCTGGTTCTCTCGTTTCTCTTTCTCATCACTACCCCAAGCTGGCTTCCCAGGAAGGGGAATTGGTTCCTTAGTTCTTTTTCGGTGTTTAAAATAAACACCTGCAGTTTGATAAAAGCTGGCAGCAGAAGGCAAGTTACAAAGCTCCCGCCATCACGGGGAATCAATCTCGCAGCCCCTCCGCCCACATCGGTGTACCAGAGTTTTTCTCTCTCTTAGGGGATTTTATAAGCTGTATCTACTTGCCAGCTTGCCTCTCATTTGACTAGTGCGTTCTCAAATTGCATCACCACTGAAACTGATTTCCAGGAGCCATAGTTTTCCCCCAATACCAGCAATGAGGGTTCCTGTTCATTTAGGGACCTTCATCTTGGGGTATGTAGATTTGTATGCTTCAGCAGGTAAAATGTTCAAGGGAATCATTAGGCCAAGGAGCATAGCCTTTCTCCCCTTCCCTGCTAACAGTGTGTTTTCTTGCTCACTAAATCAAAGGCAGTTAGCACAAGGCTGACACTACTTCAACTTCAGAACAGGACGTTTCAAGACCAAAAGAGAAAATGCCTCCCTCCCTTGTCTCTCTCACTCTCTTTGTGTATCTATAAAAATGAACCAATTTATTTCTAACATTTACATATATTTATAAATATGAAAGTCCTAATGGTACTTACTATTCCTAGTAAGGAAAATGGATTCAAGAACCATTCAAATGAATTGCTTCTCCATGAGCAGTTTATAAACACTACAAATTCTTGGAGCTCAAGAGTCTCAAGTTTTGAGTCTGTAAATACAGTCTCTGTGAAGTTGCAAAGATCTTTCTGATTCAGGCCAAACTTTAAGGACAACAGGCATAGAAGTGGGTGGGTGTCTTTGGCTCATCCAGAACTAAATTAACTGTCAGTAACAATTAGACCTTCTGTATGCATAGTTGAAGTTATCGCTTGCTAGGCTGAATAGATTTTATACAGACAATTTAAATTTTTATCAATTTTAGGTTTAAATTTAAGCTAATTCTGATCTGTATCTGGTTAAGTATGTAACCATGACATGAAATAGAATGGTTTGTTCATTGTGGTGAGTAACAATTAAATCTATAGAGAAAACTGGACTGAAATGGTGTCTAAAGTTTTATTCTCTTCCATCTCACCTTTATGAAAGTTTAAGTGCACAGGGATGCTTGGAAGTAAGTTGTCGGCTTGGCATTTGTACACTCCGGGCACATGGACCTTTAAGGTGGGCCTTTGAATTTCCCTTGGTGCCATGTTATTCTTATACCATTTTGTTTTCTGGGGTAAGTTGAAGCCAGATCCATAGCATGTCAGAGTCACTGTCTCTCCTTGAAAGAAAGAAGTCCACGGAGGTTCAAGAGAAATCACAGATTGGGGTGCAGTTTCTGGGGATGAGAGAAAACGAGTCTGTAGCAGAGGCGCTCACAGTTTCTGTTCTAGAAGGGCCCTGTGGGATATACAGGAAGGACCTGACTTTAGGCCATTCCCAAGAGCCCTGCCCCCAAGTTCACAGATAACTGAAGGCTGCGTGTCATCAAGGAGCGCTCACCACCCACAGGGAAGAGTGATTGATTGCCCACTGATGGCAAGACAACTTCTGGGGGCACGATAGCAGGATTTATCGTCACACCAATGGTTGTTAACTAGCCTGCTCTGGAAGTGGGTCCTAGATAAAATCACCTCTTCATAAGCCCACAAACAACTATAGAATCATTAAAATCACAACTTTGTGTTTTTCCGAAAAGAAATAATTTTTTTTTTGGTTTTACAAGACAGGGTTTCTATGTGTTGTTTTGGAGGCTGTCGGTCCAGCCTGGCCTCGAACTCACAGAGATCCACCTGCCTCTGCCTCCCGAGTGCTGGGATTAAAGGCGTGCGCCACCACCGCCCAGCAAAAGAAATAATTTTATCATCAGATTTTGACACTAGAAAAGTTTGAGAGATCAATGTATGTAGCTGTGTTGTTTCATAGAGGATGATTTCAATGACTGGAAAATCCATCCTCATTAGCTGTCAGAACAAGAAATAGATAGTCATCTGCTGACACCCCCAGGGGAGTTAGATAAGAGCATGACTGGGTGGCTAGTTGTGGGGAGACTTCCTGATATTACTTTAGATCCTCAAATATTCAAAACCCCACTGACCCAGGAAGTTGGTAATGAGTCACGGCTGAGAAAATGTGTGTTCTAATGTTAATTTGTGGCAAATTAAAATCACCTGAATAGGGATTTTGGTCATTTGAAGAGCTGTCTGGATTATGGTCAGCACTGTGAGGTAGCAGCCCAGATAGAAAAGGTATTTCAGAAGGAAGATCTCAAGCCTCTGGCTCTCTTGGCCCTCATTCTGATTGGCTCTGCCCTGCCACTGCCTCCCTCTGATTGGCTCTGCCCTGTTGCTACTTGACAGTAGAACCAACCAACATTCCACGCTTTCACAGTGGACTATGGACCAGCAGCTCTGCAGAACTTCCAGACTTTGGGTGTCATATTGGGACTACTGAGGCACCCTGATTTATAGACTGAATAACTGCTGCTTCCCTCACCCTAGTGAGGCCCAGCTATTCTGGGACTACTCCAACTGTAACTTCTGGGTTCTCAGCTTCTCAGGAGCGTTTTAGCTGTTGTTGCTATTTCAAAGCACACTTAATAAATATACATAGTTCTAGTCCTCTGGAGAACCCTGGCTAAACACTCTGCTCTCCCCCCCACCCCCAGTGTCTCCAAAGGTTAAACACCCTTACTTCCCATGCACTTCCTGGAGGATTGAACGAGCAGAGGAAACAATGTTACAGTATGCATCTCCCTTGTGCAGTTTTCATGGTTTTCCTAGTTGACTGACTGGAGAGGAATCCATCCTGAGCCATTCACATTTGCCGCAGAGGCAAAGATGATTTCATTGCTAAGAGGGGCCACTGGCAACAGGATTCAGGGCAGGGCCTCAGAAAGAGAGCCCCCCCCATGCGTTGACCCTCTCACCCAGGAGTGCTAGAAGGCAGCATCTAGTAGCTCTGGCTGGGAGCAGCCCTGGGCCTCAGCAGGAATGTGAGACATTAGGCAGAAACTCTTCCCAAGGACTCACAAAAGCAGGAGAGAGGACTCATCATACGGTCCACTGACGGGATCTGGAAACAGGACGAGCAAACAACAAAAACCAAGAGTAAGAGATGAAAGCTCAGAGTTTGGACTCTTTCTCTTCTTAGTTGAAAACATAATGCGTTTCCATATCCATTTTATTACTTCTCATGAAAAATTCACTTATAAAAATGTTGACAGCCGGGTGGTGGTGGTGCAAGCCTTTAATCCCAGCACTCGGGAGGCAGAGGCAGGCAGATCTTTGTGAGTTCGAGGCCAGGCTGGACCGACAGCCTCCAAAACAATACAGAGAAACCCTGTCTCATAAAACAAAAAAAATGTTGACAATTGATTGTCAAGTGTCTATATGTATGAAGATATTACCCAGGAACTTTAAAGATAAATTTAAAAATGCCACTTTCTGGCCAAAAGTATAATACTGGAGGTAGGCACAATGATAGCAAGATACGTGGGCTAGACAGCTTAATGTGGGGAGTGGGGGGGGGAGAGGGAGAGAGAGGAAGAGAGGGAGATAGGGAGAGAGGGAGAGAGGGAGAGAGAGAGGGAGAGAGGGAGAGAGAGAGGGAGAGAGGGAGAGAGAGGGAGAGAGGGAGAGAGAGGGAGAGAGAGAGAGAGAGGAAGAGAGAGGAAGAGAGAGAGAGAGGAAGAGAGAGAGAGGGAGGGAGGGAGAGCAAACACAAGCGTTGAGGAGGTGGGAATACGGTGGATGATACTTGAAATTATGATCATCCAAGTGAGGGTTAACAGTTGTGTCTGGCATAAGAGCACAGAGAGGGCGGTCAAGGCAAGAAGGGCACAGAAGAAAGGACACCGGTGTTCAGACATGGACTGGGCAGCTCGGCGGGTGAGGAGTGGTGGGAGGAAGACACCTGGGAGAATGCAGGGCCATGAGGAGCGCCAGTTTTCTTGTAGAAGTCACGGGGAGCCATAGAAAGAGCTCAGGGAATGTGACTAAGCTAGAACTTGAGGCTTTGATGGAGTGTTCTGACAGAGAGAGGTCTTCCGTGGAGTAGATGGGAAATATCTGGGTGATGGCCAAAGTTTAACTTTCTTTAGAGTGCTTGCTTACCCAGGCTTATCTGAATTGAGTGCAGATTTACCAATCATAGGAAGGCCTGCTCTGGAATGGAAGAACTGTGAGCTTTTTTAGGAATCGGTTAACAAACAAACAAACTAGGCTAGGTTGGCAGGTTTATACATTATAAGCCAGAGAAAGGTTGGAGTTGAGTCTTTCACTTGAAAGACGTTTCTGTAATGCCAGCCATTTACTGGTCAATGCAGTGAAAATCCATCTGTGAGTGAGGGACACATCATCCCTGTCAACCTGGACATGATGGAAGAGTGACTTAAACCCAAGTGTTTTATTAGACCAAGTGATTAGTTACCATTACCCACACATCATGGCCACCATGGCTTTTGTATTTGAGGGCTTTCTACTTGGTATGCAATTGCACATGTCATTTCATGTGGCAGTTTCTCAGGAAGATGTGTGTCAATTTGCTTCACTTTCCAGTTATACTCTTGGGCATACACCCAAAGGATGCTTTAGCCTACCACAAAGACACTTGCTCAACCATGTTCACTGCTGCTCTATCCATAATAGCCAGAAATTTGAAACAACCTAGATACCCCTCAATAGAAGAATGTATAAAGAAAATGTGGTATATTTACACAATGAAGTATTATTCATTCATTAAAAACAAGAACAAAAATATAACAGCAACAACAACAACAACAACAAAAAACACATTATGAAATTTGCAGGCAAATGGTTGGAACTAGAAAAAAAATCATTCTGAGTGACATAACTCAGACCCAAAAGACAAATATGGTATGTATTCACTAATATGTGAATATTAGCCATTAAGTTAATGAAAACCAAACTATGATCTGTAGAACCACAGTGTATAGGTATAGAGTAAAGGACTAGAGGGTAGATAGATCTCTTAGGAAAGGGAAATAGAATATATAATTATGGGTGGATGGAAGGGGCTGGGATGGGAGGACCAAGTGGGGAGGGGGAAGGGGAAGGAGGTTGGAGGAGGGGACACAGGGGGAGACAGTGGCATTTGAGGGGTAGTATGGAAAACTAATAAAGCAGAAACTTCCTTAAATGTATATAGGGGAAGTCTAAATGAAATTACCAAACAATGGGGGAGACAGAGTTCCACAGGCCATCTCTTGTCACCAAGTAAAGTTTCCAGTACTAGGACTGTGTTACATGTAATTGAGTTGTTGGACAAAGGGGTCCAATGGGAATCCCCAACAACCCAGGCTGTGGGCAAGGCTATAGGCTGCTCTCTACAAACTGGCAGCAAGGCCCCATTGATGAAGGCAGCATCCACACAACTCATTGAACATGGAGATGTTGAGCTGGTGTCTACTTAGAGCCTTTCCTGCTATATTCTAGTGTCTTTGGTAAGTAAAGGACACTACCAAAAGAGAAATGTAAGCCAGCCCAGCCAGGAGTCTTCTGATTTACCATGGTGTCCTGCTTGAAGGATACCCTAGGGCCATGGTGGCAGACAGCTTGTGGGAGTGACCAACCAGTAACTGATTTGATTTAGGGCCCTCTCAATGAGAAGGAACCAGTACCCAATACTGCACTGCCTGGGTGACCAAGAACCAGAGACTAGAGAGTTCAGAGACTGAAAAACAAAACACTACTGGTCTTAACAAAAATATAGTGAGTAAGTGACTCCTAATGATAATCTCATATACCCATGGATCAGTTGCATTATTCAGTCAGCCATCATTAGAGAAACTTCCCCCTGCAGTCGATGGGAATAAACACAGAGACCCACAGCAGAGAGAGACAGAGAGACAGAGAGAGAGAGAGAGAGAGAGAGAGACAGACAGACAGACAGACAGACAGACACAGTGAGAGAGAGACAGAGAGAGCAAGCGAGAGAGAGAGAGGGGGGCAGGCAGGCAGACAGACAGACAGACAGACAGACAGACTTTGGAACACTCAGCCCTAAATAGGATGTCTCCGTTAAATCCCTCCCCCCAGAGCTCAGGGAACCCTGCAGAGAAGGAGGAGGAAAGAGGGAAAGAGCCAGAGTGATGGAGGACACCAAGAGCACAAGGCCCTGTGAGTCAACATGAGCAGAGCTCACGCGAGCTCACAGAGACTGAGGCAGCGTGCACAGGGCTGCACGGGTCTGCACTGCGCAGAAGTCCTCTGAGTATGTATTGCGGCTTCCAGTTGAGTGTTTTCGTGGGATTCCTGAGTGCGAGAATGGGTGGGGCTCTGACTCTTGCACTTTCCCTGGGTCTTTTCTTCTGTTGCTCTGCCTTGTTCAACTCCAATGTAATAGTTTTTGTTTTATTTTATTTTATTATACTTTATTACTACCTCTCAGAGGCCTGTTCTTTTCTAATGAGAACCAGAAAGAGAGTGGATTTGCATGGTGGGGTGGACCTGGAAGGAATAGAGGGAGAGGAATCATAACCAGGATATATTATGTGAGAAAAGAATCTGTTTTCAATAAAGGAAGGAAGAAAGAGAGAGAGAAAGAAAGAAAGAGAGAGAAAGAAAGCTGGTTGGTTGAGTGGCTAGCCGGTAGCAACACCGTTTTGAATCCATACTCTTACACCCCCACCCCGCACCATATTGACACTCTCCTCTCCTCCTCTCCTCTCTCCCCCCTGTCCTCCTGCCTCTCCTGTTGTACCAGGCTTGGATGTGCTTCCGTTTCTGAGGTAACAGTTCATTGCAGCCATGGGGTCCTTGCCCCATCCGCTGCTCACTGCCTGAGTTCCAGGAACTATTTACCAAGTGTTTTGTGTGAATTACTTCTCTGTGCCTCCATCCACTGTGACTTTGTTTAACTGCATTGCATTTCCCGCCTGTTTCTTGGACACTGGCTTTGGTGAGAGCTCTTGGGTAGTATCTTTGTGAGCATAAAACAGTCCATCATCCTCAGCATCGGGTGCAGGGTTTCACATAGATGGCTCTAAGATTTTCATTGGTTTTTAAAATCTGATTCTAATATTTAAGACTTAGTAAAAAGCAAACACTTCGCAGGTATGAACTGACAGGAATGCGTATCCACGGGCAGGGACATAGTCGCCTGCTGTAGGCTCCTTCCCTTCCGCTTTCCCAGTGTACATCTCTGCCTTCCTTCCACAGTGCTTTCCTTGTGCCCAGTCAGTTTGGGGCTGGTATGAGTGTGCAGAAAGAGCTATCCTCTGCGTCACTCCCTTGCCATCTCGTGCTCAAGACCAGGAATGGCCTGCATACAAGGAATTAAAATGTAGACCTCATTTGAATAAAAAAGTTGTGAACAAACAAGTGTGATTCGTTTTCTGTGCTTTATAAAGTATTTGTTAAAGGAAAAAAAAAAACCAAGTGAAACTTTAATTATTGCTGTTGTTACAGGTTCCTCCCCTGCTGATGGAAGGATTTTTCCACCTGTGACTACTTTCCTTGAGCTAAGGAGGGGAAATCCTGAGTTGTGTAAAAGTTGGGGACTATAGTCTCATGTGGGATACTCTGCGGTGGTGAAACTCAAGGGATGACCAGGCCTGTGGTGGAGAGAGAGGATGCTGCCCAACCCACCTCAGACCCATCTACTCACTCACAACCGGTAGAGTCAACCACAGCCGCACGAAGACCACCCAGGACGAGTCTGAAGGAGGCATTTTCTCACAAGGAGCAGTTGGCTCCTGCTCTTGATCTCACTGTAGTCAGTAAGCAGCCCACACCAGCGCCAGTGAGGCTATCTGGGAAACTGCTCTTCTAAAACAGTAGAGCGTATCTTGAATCAGAAAAAGGAAGTAGGAATATCTAAATTTAACTATTAATCAGTTCCCTCCCTTACAGACAAAGTGAAAAAGTTAGTTTTTTTTTTATCACGTGCCCCCAGCCCCACATTTCAGCTGTTGGGAAATTACCTTAAAGAAGTAACAAGAAGATAGTTCTATGAAAGAATGTCTGTCATCATCACTGTCTGAACAGGGAGCATCATACATGATTCAGGCTGTAGGATTGTACGATGGCATCATTAATGGTAAAAGGCAAGAGCCTCTGGTGGGAGAGAGAAAGTGAGGTGTGGGCTGGTATTTGTAGTGTGCCCTTTACGAAGCAGAGGTAAGAGATGGAAGGCATGTGTCTATGGAAAACTCTAAGGGTATGTTTTCCTTAGAGTACGTGAAATCCGCAGCTGTATTTGAGAAGTAGGCATTTCATTATGTCTTTCTGTGCTGTTTTTTCCCCTTTAAATTATTATGTGAGTGGATTGCTTTTAAATTTCAATTTGATTTTTTAAAAGTCAATTTCCAGTGGGTCAACAAAGTTCCCTGATATAAGAAGTGATAGTTTTTTTGTTAATTCTTTTTCCTCACAGATGACTTTCCTCACAGTTTGTTTCTGGACTCACATCTTGGTCTTCCCAAAAAGATATTTAATTTTATATTTATCAATGTTTCAGGCATTTAAGTCACAACAATCTCACCGTGCCCTGAGAAAAACATGTAGAGATAAGCAGATGGATCTGTCCCAGTTTAGGAGGAGACTCTCAAAGGGACGCATGTTAATACTCTTGGAGCTGAGGCAGCATGGCAATGACCATTCTGCATGTTTCCTGTGGGCGTACACACCTGTTCCTACTGGGCACACACTTGGTGGACTTCCTGGCTTGTAGACTATGCCATACTGAGTCCACTTCAGAAAGTGCTGATTAATTACTTTCTGTAGCAGGCTTTCTTTTGGGCTACTAACCAGCTCCCGAATGGTGACACTGGGACTTAGTCTGTTTGTCCCACTGGCTCTTATAACTTGTTTCTCTTCGTCTACATTTTGCCTCAGGGCATTTTACCTCATTCTGTGTGTCCTACTTTCACTGTTTCCTCCGTGTCTGTTTGGCGGCTTCCTGGTCTTCTCCCTCTCTTTCTCCCTTGTTCTTTCTTCCCTCCTTGAGTCTAGATTCCTCCTCCTCCTTATTCTCATGGCCAGCAGCCCCACCTATCCCTTCTCTGCCTAGCTATTGGTCATTCAGCTCTTTGTTAGACCCATTAGGAGCCTCAGGCAGGCAAAGCAACACATCTTTACATCGTTAAACAATTGCAGCATGAACACCCGTCGCACACCTTCACATAAATCAATGTTTCACAACAACGTTCTGATATAGCTGAGTTAGAACCCCATCAGGCAGCATGTGAGAGCCTCGTTGCCCTCCCACCCCCAATAGGTACAGTGCTCATCTTATGCATTTTAGCCATTCTGATGAATTATAAGATCCTAACTTTTCATATTGTATGGTTTATTAATTTTTCTGAGACAGGGTTTTACTATATATCTCTGGCTGACCTGGAACCCACTCTGAAGACCAGGCTGGCCTTGAACTCATAGAGCTCTGCCCTTGTCTCCCAAGTTCTGGGATTAAATGTGTGAACCACTATACCTAAAAGACTTTTTCATATTTAAATGGTATTTTAGATCACTTTTTAAATGTGAAATATTTGTTCAAATCTCTCAGTCTTTCTCATACTGTTTTGTAGTTCTTTCACATATGGACATCAGTTTTTTTGAGATATGTGTGAAATGTCTTTCTTTACCCTGGCTTCCCTTCTTGGTTATTGGTAGTGCCTTTTTTATGAATTACCGTTTCAGATTTGGCATAGAACAATTCATCTGTATATCCATTTATGGCTAGGGATTTTTACAGCCCCTTCATAAACTCTGTATACTCCAAGGTCATGAGGATACTCTCAGCTTGTCTCTAGATATCTATAATATCATATCATACTATCTGTATCATAAATGAACGTTTGTTTACATTAGTGTTAGTACATGTTAGAATAATACATATATAAAAGAATTGCTTTAAAAATACATTTCTTTATGGTTTATTACCAGCAAATATTTGACACATATGTTTGGCTTAAATACCTAATACCTGGGCATGAGTAAACCAAGTTTAAGAAGCCATATTTGGACTCTTCATGCAGCTGGACTTGCTGAAGTTTGATTCATTCTACAACCTGGGTTCTTTTAGATTTGTTGCTTGTGCAGTCCCATTGCCTGTGAATACTGACAACTTTATTTGTTACGCCTTAAACAGTGAAACCCCCTTTCTCTCTGACTGTCACCTGAGGACAACCTTCAGCACGGTACTGAAGCCGTGACACCAGATGTCCCCTCGGTTTCACTACCCCACCGTTAAATACCATGGTTTCTGGAAGTGCTGCTGGCAGATACCCTTCATTAGCTTGAGTAATGTACCGAATTCAGTCACAGTTTTCCTCAGTAAAGGGCGTTGAGTGTATTAGTAGCTGTTAGATTGGGGTCGATGGAGACGACTTGGAAATAAAACAGGCAGACACCGCCAGAAGCAGAATTGTTCCTTTAGTCAGACAGAAGGGCCGCAGTCTCTGTGGGAGTAGAGACTGTGTGTAAGTGGCAGAGGGTTTTAGTGTGCCGAAAAGGGTTGGGATGGGAGGGTCTGCTTGCAGGTCAGTTCCAGTGCGGTCTCACAAAGGTGGATGTCCTCACTCTGCGGCAACCTTTCTCCTTGCTGAGGCCGGGGTGGAAAGTTTACGTGGGTGCACTTCGTGAGGGGAGGGAGGTGCAGCTGAATGGCCTCTGTCTGGCTCAGTCCACTGCCATGGTGCCTTTGGGAAGCAGACAGCTTCAGCCTGAGGTCTGGGTTCCAGCCCTCAAAGATCTGCCACACAAGAAATTCACCTCCCTCAGCTACGACACCCATATCAAAGGTTTCCACATCCTCTCCAAATCGTGCTACCAGCCGGAGACAAATGTCTGAATACCTGGGCCGGGAGAGGCATTTCACAGCCATACCACAGCATTGTGATCAACATTTCCCCATTAGATTCAGTACACTGTCTTCCACGTTTCGGTTCACTAAGAATTTTTCCTAAATAATGGATATTGAGTTTTGCTAACATTAGTTTTGCATCTATGTTATGAGTACACGACTCTTCTATTTTCTTGTCTATATGGCGAATAACATTGATGATTGCAGATGTCAGGCCAACTCTGCATTCAGCCTGTCTGTGATATGGCCACTGAACTCGGCTTGTAAGTTTGGTTTTGGCATTTCTTTCCACAAGAAAGATGAACCTAGACTTCACTTCCTTATCAATCCCGGTATCAAGATTAGAGTGGTCTCATAAAATTGATTTTTTTTATTGTCTTTAAGAGGTTTTGTAAAATTATTGTTGCTTCTCCATTAAATATTTGAACAATTTTACTGTTTAAACTAACTAGCCTTTTATTTCCTTGGTATAGAGGTAGGGAAAATGATTTATTACAGATTTGAATCTTAAAACTAATATGGACTTATTCAGTTATCTTGTTTGGTAAATTGTGTCTTCCAGGAATTTGATTTGTTTCAAGTTACAGCAGATTTTACAGTGTCCTGTTGTGTTCCCAGTGTCTAGCGTCTCCACAGGGCACAGCAGGACGTCCCTTTTCATTCCTAGTTGATAGCTGTGTTTGCTAAAAAGCTCCTTTTGCTGCTAATCAGTCTCTGTAGGGACTCATCAATTGTATTAACTTTCTCAAAGAGCCTCTGACTTTGTGGTTTTTCTCTGCTGTGAATTCATTTCCTGTTTCATTAATTTTTGATCTTTGTTGTTTTTAATTTCTTCCTTTTAAATTTTAATCTGTTTTTAACAAACTTCATATAGAGACATTTATCTCCTTCTAAAAAAATTCATGCTCTTTTCTAATATACATGCTTATGCTGTACTTTTTTTGTCTAAGTGTGGCTTTAAATTGCATTACATCAGTTTTGAGATGTTATATTTTTATGATCATTTTCTTCAAAATACTTTAAATTTCATTCAGATTTCCTTTCTGGTCAATGAGATAATTTGAAGCATATTGTTTCATTTCATTTTATTTATTATTTTTATTTTTGTTTATATTTATTTATTTTTGTGACAGTTTTTCTCTGTTTAACAACCCTGGTTGTCCTGGAACTCACTTTGTAGACCAGGCTGGCCTCAAATTCACAGAGATCTGCCTGCCTCTGCCTCCCAAGTGCTGGGATTAAAGGCGTGTGCCACCAACGCCCGGCTCATTTTATAACTCTTAGGAAACTTTTCCTCTTATTATTGATCTCTAGTTCAGTTTCACTGTGGTTTTAGAACACATTTTACAATTTCAGTGTATGAATTTATCAAAGTTTGCTTTATGGACTAATATACAGTCAGATTTTTAAACATTCCGTATTTTCTTTAGAAGAACATGGGTTAAGTATTGGTGCAGAATTTATCAATCATATTGTCCTCTATTGTATATGATATTGTTTCAAAATCCTGCACTCAGGGTTTTCTTGTCTTTTTTCCCTTTCAATCAGTTACTGAGAAAATTATTTTAAAGCTTCTCACAATAATAGTGAATTTTTCTGTTTTCTCTTTGTTTACACTTCTTTTGTTTTAAAATTTGGAATTATTTTGTGAAATGTGAAGACACTAAAATAGGTTTGACATGTCCTTTTTGTTAATGTTTATTTTTGCGATTATAATTTAGTCAAAATGTTTCTCCCTTCCCTTTCTTCCTCCAACTTCCCCCACCAGATATGTCTCCTCACTCTCCATCAAATTCATGGCCTTTTTGTTTTGCATTAATTGTTGTGGCATGCAATATGTATTTATACATACATATATATGCCTAAATATAACCTGTTGATTCCATATAATGCTTATGTGTGTTTTCAGGGATGGCCATTTAGCACTGGAC